GCTATATAAACATGCAACTAGTTTTTACATTTCTTGTTATCGTTATGTGCAGATCATGTTTGACACTGTATTGTTTGGGATTTCACAAGGATGATGTTCATGGTCATCCTAGCATCCACTAAGCATGCCCTGTAAGAACATAGTGTATGGCTGTAGGAGAAGGGACAGCACCATAAGCTATATGGTCTTTACCTACTCCATGCATCTAAAAGTGTCCATACCAGCTGTCCAACTGATGTTGGCTCTGTGTAGCACTAAAAATATTGTGGAGTGCTTTCTATATACTATAAGTGTGTGCTTGGCCTCCTCTTCCTTCTAAAAAAATAAATAGAACAATGTAAATCTGCCTGATGAGCACTTACATCTGTGTTAAAGGTGGAGTTAAGTTAGAGAAAACCTCACCATGTGTAATACTCCTAAACTTATTTTAAAGATGAAATAGCTAACACAAAAACAAAAAAACTCATAAGCAAACAATGTACCAGAAAAATGGAATGCCATATTGGAGTTTCTTTAGGCATCCATAAATAACTGTATATCAACTAATAACATAAATATAAGAGTTGTATTCATTGTTGTGCTTGTGTTTTCACTGACGTGAAAAGGGCCTTATTAGTGTAACAGTTTATTAGACATGTATACATAATATAAACATATTTTTAAACCCGTAAATGGGGTTACTGGAAAGCTTGGGCATGGGAGGAATGTAATGCTAGGGTATATTTTTATGTTACTTTGTACTGTTACACCTGCAATTCTTATAGAAGAGCTGTTAGTTCCTAGGGTTTTTTAAATAGATTTTACTTATACCTATATTTAACAAATATGTATTTTTAGGTGTGAAAAGAGAAATTAAATGTAGAAAGACATGCCTTTTTTATTTACACTATAACCAGGGAAGTTGTGGCTAAGGCTGCATCAACAAAGGGATTTAAAGTGATAATGTCACCTCTCCCCCCTCGCAAAATGAATATTTTAAAATCTTTACAAAATACTCATATTGACTGAGTTACCGCCAGCTAGAAGTGTCAATCTGTCAGCCGTCACCAGTGATGGCTGCAGAGAATTGACTATGTTTATGGAGTCAATCTTGTGGGATCCTCCATTGACCTTTTGCATGAGCAAAAGTGCAACAGTAATGTCGTCTCCTGACGCTAGAGGGTCAGGAGGAGAAGAGGACCTGCAGTTTAAACACATAGTTTCCTGCCGGAACACTAGTGACAATGTCATCATCAGGGGTCTTTTGCAAAGTCCCCAGACTGTGACAGTGCTGCTTTAATCCTAATTCTAAAATGGCAGATAATTGAGCGGTGAGACTGCAGGGGCATAATCTGTACACAAGTTGTTTTGGTACTCAGAGTATATAGATTTAAAGGGAAATAAAAAAAATCTTGTAAAAAGTAAAAGAACATTAAAACTAAAAACCTATTTAAAGAGTAGGTCTTCACGAGATATGTTAGTTGGGTGTGATAGGAAGTATGTATTGTCTTATTATTGTGTTTGTTGGTTGTTGCTTTTTAAAACGTCAAGGCTGTGGTGCTTATTAGGGGTGATATGGAGTAATGCTTAGGGTAATCTAGATAAATGCCCAGGGTCTTAATTCTCCTGGTAAAAGGAGCTTCCTGTACCATACCTTTAGTGAGAGAAAAAGCACAAGTATGTTTTGTGCAGGAGAAGCATTTGGTTCAAGAGCATAGGCAATTATGGAAATTCAATAAATTACCTATAGTTTATTCAGCTTCAAAAGAAAAATAAAAAGAATGCGGAGTAGCAATAATTTTTTCCAAAGAAGTGCAATTTCAGTGTCAATATAAAAAGTTAGATCAGGAAGGGAGATTTATTATTTTAATAGGGCAAATGAACGGGCTAGATTATACGCTAGTTAATGTTTATCTACCAAATAAGGCATCTACAAGACTACTAGAAAAAGTCCTCAAATTGATAGAACTAATCTGTAAAGGAACCTTGTTCATCGTGGAAGATTTTAAATGTGTGGCAGACCCTGTCTGGGATAAGTTTGTAAGCTCCTGGCAGACCAGAGATAAAAATCTAGTAAAAACAAGCAGGATCGCTGAATAGATTAATTAAGAAACATGATTTCTATGATTGCTGGCGACTTTTTCATCCAGGATAAAATAATTATGCCCATAGATCTATTTATCATGGGTCAGCGGCCAGAATCGAAATGGTAATGGAGAATCATGCTTTGGTGAACTCTATCAAAAATATTATTATTATATAATACCTAGTGTGACCATGATTTTTTTTTTTATTCTTTATTTTTGTTGTGCGTAAGTTTATAACAATTGCTTGTGAGGTACCCCAACGGCAATCCTCTAGCACATTTCAAACATTGTAACGTGAGGGTACAGGAAAATTCTAGCACAAGTTTTTATATATAGATATATATGTGGTTAAGTCGAGTAGTAAACAACATGTGTTGTAGTAGCTCAGTCTCTTCTATGACACAATAGCAACAATGCATAATAGTATGGTTAGGTTGTGAATAGACATAAGCCTACATACATTTATACAGTTATACAGTCTAGTAGGTGTATATACAGGCAAGCCCTCAGTTTCTCTATAGACTTTAACCAGGCTGGGGTTGCCATATTATTCCACACCAGCTAGTAAAATAGTGCCCATTAGTTGAGCATTTACATAGTAATAGTTAACGATCTAACACATGCTTAACTTAGGTCTAGATCTAGGTTCTGAGTGGAATCAATTGCTTATACAAAATCTATCGATGGGTTGGGGTTTTGACTTCTTACCGAGGAAGTCGCGCGGGGGCGGGGGCGGGAGAAGGTATATTCTCCCCGAAGCTTGTGGTGTTCTGAAGAACAATAACAAGGCAGCAAAACATAAAAACCTTAAAAAACAAGCATAGGGTAAAACAGTAGGTGAGCCGGCATGCACGGCTCTAAAGCGGAGGCAGTGTCTGATTAATGTATGAAAGTCGTTGGCAACCATTAATGCTGTTCAGAACAGCTCTTCCTCAGCTCCTGTGGAGGACGCATAGGAGGTCGAGGGTCTGGCAAAGTGGGCAGTTCAAGTTAGGGCTCCGCTAACATGGCAAATCATATGGGTGGGGCATTGTGATGTCACATGGGGGGGCGGCCAACTTTACTTTTGCCTAGGGCGGCAAAAATCCTTGCACCGGCCCTGGCTGGAGGGGGCTGTGTGAGCTGTGGCCGCACAGTGTCCCATAGTAGTTAGGGTGCTGTGCGGCCAGTACAGCTCACACAAGCAAACAGCTGATAAACTGGAGGAAATGTGTGTGTGTGTGACTGTCTGCCTGTAACTGAGTGTGTGACTGTCTGTCTGTAACTGAGTGTGTGACTGTCTGCCTGTAAATGTGTGTGTGGGGCTGCAGGGATTTTGTAGAAGGGGGCTGGGGTTTTGTATTGGGACAGGAGTCTTTATAAGGGGGATAAGCAGGGGATTTGTGGAAGGGGGTTGCGGGGGTTTTGTAGACGGGGCAGTACAGGATTTGTAGAAGGGGCAGGACAGAGGTTTTGTAGGAAGGGCGGGGCAGGACAAAGGTTTTGTAGGAGGGGCTGACAGCGGTTTTGCAAAGTTTACAAATTCCCAAAAAAAAAAAAAAACCTTTAACATTTTTTTACAGGTTTTTTTTTTTTTTCGGGGGGGGGGGGGGGGATCCACCCCGGGTGCCAAACGCTCTAGGTACGCCCCTGTGTCAGGCACTTAAGGGACTGCGACGGCGAGCTGCCTCGGTTGACGCACGGAGGCCGGTTTCTGCGGTGCTTTTGTCAAGACTCTGTGGGGTGCTCCCGCAGATCTGTTACTCGGTGTTTGAGGCACAGCTGTTTAAGTTGGCTTATTCACTGGCATTCTTTGGGGCCATGCACATTGGGGAACTGGTGAGCCCTAGTAAGCGTAGCTGCGGGGGGGTGTTGTTTGCCGACGTTCAGTGCGAGCCGGGGCGGATTTAGTTTCTGATACGACGGTCAAAAACGGATGTCCTTGGAAGGGGTAAATGGGTGCGGTCGGGTGCTGTCCCTGGTTCAGATATTTGCCCAGTTGCTTCCTTTCAAGAATTCTGCGAGTTGCGCCCAGTTTCCGCAGGCCCCCTTTTGGTTCATGAGGATGGGAGTTTTCTGTCCCATTTTCAATTTATTTGAGTTTTTTGTTCTGGATTGGAGGTATTGGGGGTTGACAGTAAGGAGTTTGGGGGGCACTCATTTAGGATTGGCGCTGCCACTGAAGCTTCTAGGCTGGGAATGTCGGTGCAAACGGTTCAGAGGATTGGTAGGTGGGCATCTGGGCGTTTTGTCTCATATGTTCGTCCTTCCCGCCTCCTAAATTGATGTTTTCTCCTTAGGTAGGAGTCCCCCTAGGGTCTGGGTGATCGGACACTCGTATGTCTTCTGGGCCAGACCGCAGGGGGCGGCTGTCCGTCCAGGAGGTGAGCTGCTTGGTTTCACGCCTTCTGAAGCGGAAGTTCGCTGGTTTGGGAATAGAGGTATGAAGTGGGTCTGGCTCCTCCCTGAGCTAGTTCAGCTTGCCTGGCTTTTGGGTCCACCTAGTGTTCTTGTGATTCACCTGGGGGGTAATGATCTCGGGACTATGCCTATTTGGGGGTTAGGGAACGCAATTAAGAGGGATTTAGCGCGCGTATTGGTTTTGTTCCCGGACGTTCGACTGGTCTGGTCGGAGGTAATTTCATGAAACTACTCATAATCAACGGGGGACGGACCGTTGTTGGGTTAAATTGAACCGGAGGGTCTCCAAGTTCGTGTTGGGGGTAAACGGGATTCCGGTGCGCCATAGGGTGTTTGCGCGGGCGGCAGCTAATTTGTTCAGGAGTGATGGCGTGCACCTCACGGAGGTCAGGCTCGACCACTTTAATCTTGCAATCCAGGAGGCGGTGGAACAGGCCTTGGTTGGTTTTGGTGGGGCTCCCCGCTGATTTTAGTCTTAAAACAGTGTGTCTGTGAGTGTATGTGTGTGTCTGTGAGTGTATGTGTGTGTGTGTGTGTGTGTGTCTGTGAGTGTGTGTGTGTGTGTGTGTCTGAGTGAGTGTGTGTGTGTCTGTGAATGTACACACACTTACAGACACACACACTTACAGACACATACACATACATTCACAGACACACACACACACACACACTCACACACACTTACAGACACACATACACTCACAGGCACACACTTACAGACACACACACACTCACAAACACACACACATAAACCCACAGACACACACACACACACACTTACAGACACACACACATACACTCACAGACACACACACACACTTACAGACACACACACATACTTACAGACACACACACACTTACAGACACATACACTCACAGACACACACACACACTTACAGACTCAGACACACACACATACATTCACACACACACATACAAATTATATGTTTTTAATTAAAAAATGTCCACCCAGCCTCCCTACCTGGAGAGCTGGCATGGACCTGTCCCTGGGGTCCAGTGGGTCAGGCGCCTGTCTCCAGATCAGACACAGTGAGGGAGTGGTGTCCACTCTGCTGCCTCTCGCCGCGCGGGCTGTCTGCAGTAGCTGGGAACTGGAATATGACGTCATATTCCGGCTCCCGGCATCAGCAAACGGACAGGGGAAACATGGGGGAGGAAGGTGGGCATTTGGGGGCGCTGAGTGCCTGCAGGAACAGCGTTCCTGCTCAAAAAAAAAACTCTGTTCCTGCAGGGATTAGGGTGTGCCCAGGCATACCCAGCACACCCCGTGTGCACGCCTATGCTGTCTGTAGAATATTTTGAAAGCAACACTGGGCATGTCAAAATTATAGGGCAGCTGTTAGATTTGTCCTGTTTCAGCAGGTTTTATACATACCTAATCTCAGTGATGAAACTTTGTAGAGAGGGCCCTGGTGCAATATTTTTTTTACTGTTGGGCCCCTTTAGCACAAGCATGGCCAAAAGGTAAATCCCTATCCGTTGTGCAACTCCCACAATGCCTTTACAGCTGTGACGCTGTTGTGTGCCTATCCTTGCAGAGCAGTTTTTGTGTTTAAAAATGTATTTATGTGTAGTAGTGGTATTTGAATGCAGTTGTATGTTTGTATGTACTGTTGATCTTTGAAAGCAGTGATGTACTTGTGTTTAGTGTTTGTATGTAGAGTTGATGTTTGGTTGCTGGGAAGTATGCACACAGAAACACACACAGATACACACACTGATACATACATACACACTGACTCATGCACACATAAATACATATTGACACATGCACACACAGATAACACATATGCACACATTGTCAGATACACACAAATGCATACACACAGATAACACACACATATAAACACACAGATAACACGTACACACATATAACACATGCACACACAGATAACATATAGACACATATACAAAGGTCATTAAACAATTTTAGCCACCCCCCTGCTTCTATACCTTTTTGGTGCAGAAGGATGGCTTCCCTGGGGTCTAGTGGCATCTGGCTGAGCGTGATTGGAGCCTGGTCCAAGCTCTCCCTCCTCTCTGGTCCTCTCCTCTCTCCTGTGCAGCTCGTTGGTAAACTGGGAGAAAGTGACTTGTACTCGATTCCTCCCAGCACCACAGCTTTATACAGACCATGCGGCACGGGCACACTATTAAATAGCCATGTCCCCTGACCGGCCCCTGATCAGAGATGTTCATCAGGTGGCTCTAAGTGCATGGGTTACCCGATGGGGACTTTAAGCTTGCAGCGTGATGTAGCCACACTGACTGCCCCGGTGGCTGTTCCAGTTCCGCCACTGCCTAATCCCCTTTATGAAGGCATTTATTGGAATATAGATATGCGTGATTGCCTCTATTCGGGAGCTTTGATTTATTACACCACTAAAGGGCTGGGATACAGAGCTGGAAATGAATTGCAGAGATGTAATATTGAGGAAAAAAAGCATTCACTTGCAGAATGTGACTGACAGTAGTGCGAGCCTGGCTTAGTGGTTGCTAACACTTGAATTTCCCTTTTTTTTCATTTTTAGGTAGGGGGTGTATTTTATTTTCAGCTGTGCAAATTCCCCCTTTCATACGTGTGTATCACTGCCATCACTGGAGCCTTCTCCCTCCCCTTCCCCCTCCCCCTCCATGGGATTGGAGGGATTATGCAGGGAGCAGTACATTGTGTCTAGTAGTTTCTGGAGTGATCCTCCAGGCATTAGCAGATGCCAAATACCCAGAGCAGTGACAGTAAAAATCAGTTGCTCTGCCTTTCCTGATATCTTAATGGGCTCCTTTGCACAAACCTCCCCTGATGACACTCTGGGGTGGCCACACCACCCCTGGTATCATTCTAGGGTGGGCACCACTTCTTTGATTCCACCCAGAGTGACATCAGGAGGGAGTTAATCACCCCAGAGTGAGTTAAGGGGAGCAATGCCCACACCATTACCTTCAATGGACATGAGCCCAGAGTGCTGAAGGGTGCCCACAAAGTGCCTTCACTGGTGCCAAACTGTGGGCACTCATCTCCTGATGACACCATGGGGTAATAAGCATCCCTGTTCTGGAGGCATCCTGGGGTTGGCAACCCTATTCTGATGGCAAACCTCATTTGTTTCATGTCGGAACTCTATGATAATGGCACTCTGGTGTGGGCACCCTCTTGATGGCACTGTGGGGTGGGCACTGATTCCTTGATGGCATTGTGAGGTGGGCCCCACTTGCTTAATGCCACACAAGAGTTGCATCAGGAGAGGGAAATCCACCAGAGTGGTGTCAGAAAAGGAGTGTAATCCCAGATTGACATCAGGAGAGGAGTGTTTTCCCTGAGTGCCTTCAAGGGAGATGAGCCCAGAGTGCTATCAAGGAAACTGAGTGGGTGCCTCAAGAATGTTGTCTATATTCTGTGGGCACTCCATCACCTTTCTTAGTACCACTCTGAGAACACTCACTCACCTCCCTTGGTGCAATCTGGTGAATGTCCCTCTCCTGATGATATTCTGGGGTTGAAAGTCCTTCCCTGATTGCACTCTGGAGTGGGCACCCCTCCCTTGAATGCCACCCAGAGCAGCATTCAGCCAACACTAGATTTCATGTCCCCAAATGTTATGCCAGGTGCTACCCAATCCAGCATGCTAAAGAAATTAAAAAAAATCCCTATCAAACTAGCTAAGAATGTAGGTGCCATCCATAATGTTAACTTTAAAAAATTATATAAAAATTATATAAAATTAAAAATTAAAAAAATATTACATGTGGTGCCACCATTTCCATGGGTGCATTTTACTAAGGCTAGTATAAATTAGTTGGCTCTAAATATCTAATGTACTAAAATATTTTATTTTACCCCTTTTCATTGCTCTTGTAGGGTGGAATTGTCTTAAGGTAAATTGATATTCAATTACTTTATTATGGGCAGAGGTGTAATTAGAACCAACACGCCCTGGTGCGAAAATTGCTCCGGTCCCCTTCATTTGTTTCATTTCCCCCTATGTGTCTCATTCCCTCCCCCCAGCCCTTTCACGTGTCTCATTCCCGCCAGCTCCTCCATGTGTCTCATTCCTGCCCCCCCACCCCTTCATGTGTCTCATTCCCTGCCCACCCGCACCCACATGTCTAATTAACCCTAGCCCCTCCATTTGTCTCATTACCTCTCCCCACCAGCCCCTCCATTTGCCTCATTCTCCACCCTCCATTTCTCTCATTTACTCTGTGACAGACTGCCTGGCATCCCGACTGGGTAACTCCGTCAATCACTGGTTCCTAGTAATCCTTGAGTACCATAAGCACCGCACCGGACACCATAACCACAGTAAACCCCACAAACCGCCGCAGCTTGGTTAGTGTCGCTTTCCTCCACCCACCCTGGATACCCAAGAACAAGATCCAGCTTCCAGTTGGTAGACTTCTCCTAGTCCAGAGAGCGAAGCAGGCCATTGTGATCCAAGGGAGTACAGTGATTATAGCAATCCCCAGAGTGAATATAGCTCTCCAATCCCCCAAACATGCGCTTAGACTTCATGAAGGGTAAAACTAATCTGTTTAATGGCAGCCACAACAGGTCTCCATGCAAGGGGCACTCCCCACTGGGCCTGAGAGTAGACTACAGTAAAGACATATAGACAATTACATTGGCTCTCAGGTCCAGAATACTCCCATACAAAATAGGTTAATCCCTCCCCTATGCCTGGGAGATAATTGAGTCAGCACTGTATTAAATTCAATTATCTCCAGGCACAGAAAATATACATTTTTACAAAACTCCCCAAAATACCTTAAAACACCCAAAATCCCTACAAATGTTACATCCCTTGATAGCCCTGATCTGGGTGACCAGCATATCCAAAAATCACCCAGATCAGTTCAGGTGTTCATTCATTTTCTGGAAGTCATAATTTGACTGACAGTTACAGATAATTAGGGCTTGCGGTCGGTGTAGTTTGGTAGTTTAAAAACAAACAAACTAACAAACAGAGTCAATACTCTTACCCTGGAGCTTGATCCCCTTGTTCGTGGGAATGTTTCTAAGTGTTGAAGAACCGAACGCAGGCGATTCTGTAAGTCCAGTGGTGTTCGGAAGTTTCAGTGTCCGAAAATAGTTCCATGAACTTGACCACCAAACACCGCTGTCTGTTTTCTTGCAAACAAGATGGACGTCACCTCGTGGTTGTCCATAGGAAATGCGGCCACCCAGAGGAACGCTTAGAACACTCCGGTGAAAAGTGTTATAAAGTAGCAAATAGGCTCCAGGGTAGTATCCGTGCAGCTGTTCGGTTCCTGAACCAAATATAAAATCCCACGAACCAAGTCTGTTCACATAGTTTTATAAAGGGCCCATAGTCTTTTGGTAAGAGGCTGGCCAGCAGGCCCAGTCCAAGAACATGTGACGAGGCTCAGTTTGTCACATACTCCCTAACCGCCCTCCATTTCTCTCTTTCCCTCTCTCACTCCACCACTCCTGTACCTTCTGACTCTCAGTGAGCACTTCCTTTCAGACCGCAGTGCTCAGCCACGCTACACACAGAGACCGGCAAGAGGGGAGCAGCACAAAGCTCCCCTCCTGTCAGTAAGATGGCAACCACTGGCCGTATGAAGGTATGCTGGTGACTGCGAGCCCTTGCGACCAGGGTAAGTACACCTCTGAGTATTGGGAAAACAGCACCATGATAGTACCAGAGGATGGCT